CATGATTATTTGAAAAGAAATATAGAAGGGTATTGCTTCATAGCTCCATCTCCAAGCAGCTACTCTGAAATTATACAGTGTCCATGGAGATATTGAATTTATCTTTTTATTTTAAATAGATCTTAAAGCAAGGAGTTAGATGCATATTCATTTACATCCACAGATTGAAATTGTATTTAAAACTTTGACGATTGTCTCTATTGAGAATTTAAACAGAAAACTGATTAAAAATGACAAAGGTAAAGTTTGTAATGTAAATGTCTTGATGTCTTTGTTCTCAGAAAAGAGAAGTCTTGGGGGCAAAGGTCACTCAGCATCCTTTATGAGGTTTCCAATGCAAAACACTGATAAAGTCCCATTATACCGGTTTATGGACTGGTATACAGATAATTCATAAACACAACAGCAAGCTGAAGAGAACTGAGAATAAAAAGAACAAACATGGTAATAAAACTTTGCAAGATAGAGCACCAGGATTTGCAAAAGCAGATCTGTCTTACAAAATAACACAGATGCAAAAGCTGTAAAAATCTGTATTTCAGAAATAAAATTACAGCAGTCATGCATGTTACTTCCAGAACTTCCCAGAAGTTCAGTCTGTCTTCAGAAGGTGTTTGTTTACAGAGTCTTTGAGATTAATCTCATGAACAAGCTGCAGGGGAAGAAACAACTTTTAAATGAAGAGCATGGTAAATTGTTTTGTTTAATACAAGTTGTCCAAGTCAGTCTTACTGCGGTGTCACTATAATCTTCTAGAAGAACAAAGGATGAAATGTGCAAAAGGTTTAATTTATTCAGTCTGAGAACTATTAATAATTCAGAAATGTTTCAGTTCTTGATGGTTAGGGTCATAAATGGATGAATAGTGTATGTACTATTAGTGTCTGCACAGGAAATTCTTTGAGAAGGAAGAATACTAGATTTTTAATTGCTGATTAGAGCTGATGCTTTCTAGATTAAACCATTTTCCTAATACATTTCTGGGTTTCTATTATAGCCAGCTTCTTGTTTTGCTGACTGAGAACAATACTGAAGATTTAAAATAGATTTAAAAACAGTTTCCTTTCTTTAGCAAATGTGACAGTCTCAAGTCTGCATTATGGTGAACAAAAATACAGTAGTTAATAATGTAAGTTACAGTTTACACAGTTGGTCAACCTGGAAACAACCACATTCTTTCATGTACGCAGATGCACAAAACAAAGAGCCTAACAAAGCACATGTATGTAGGTTTGCTGATGACTCATCAAGTTTGATCGTTTGCCAAATTGAATTTCAGTGTACATCATCACCAGACTATCATGGTAGCAGGGTTTTTTTTCCCCTTAATTTGCTTACGAGATTTACGTGGTTATTGAGAGTTAGTAATTTAGCCAGCCTTCTTTAGTATGCTGTTTTTTGTTTGTTTTAACTTAAGTAGCACTGTGATATGTATCAGAGTAATAATAAGATTCAGAGAACATTGAAAATAGTACTGTAAAAATCCATTGTAGTTTTATGGAATATGGAGTGGTATGAGCAGATGTGTTGTTTTGAACTGTGGGAAAAAAAAAAAGAAGATGCTTGTCCTTTGTCTGTATGGGAAATGTATTTCCCTGATTCTGACATTTGGATGCTGTGCGGTTTGCATGCAAGTTTGAATGTTATCTTTATAGGTGTTAAACATTTTTAGATGCCTACTGAAAATATAAACAATCTATTCATGCTTCTCTTTTAGTCCAGCGAGTTTGGACTCAAAATTTCAAACTTCAGAATGTAAAATAACATGGGACTAGGCTTAAATTTAACTTGATGAGGAATATATTACAGGAGAAGAGTAATAAGTGCAGGTACTGTCTCTAAAATAACATAAATGTAACCAGGATGCTTTTTTCTTATATGTATTAAACTTGTGTTTCCAAAGATTTTTTTTTCTCATTCAATTGTATTCCTTTAGAAATATGTTGTTAGCATTTCTGTAGTGATGTCATTGGATAGTTCCTCAACCAGAGACATTTCTTCTAGTGCTAGACAGACAGTAATATGCAGCAGTTGTCTTTAATACTTCATTTGTATTATGCTTTTTCTATCCTGTGTGCTGAGAGTACTTCCAGTCAGGTTTACATGCACAATAGAATCATGCTGTATTAGGAGCATGTTCATTAATGGTAAGCTGAAAAAACTGGTTTTTTTTTTTTCCCACTAGTGGCTTTTTTTTTTTTTTTCCCTTGGTGGAGAGTGGAGGTTTGAGTAGGGAAAAGCTCGTTTTCTTTTTTTTCTTTTTCTTCTTTCCTTTTTGTTTTATTTTGTTTCTTTTTCCCCAGAACTCAAATTCTTTCTTCTTTTTCTGATTTCATTTACTACCTCTTTATGGGTAGAGTAATACAGTAGCCATCAAGGTTGCAGAAAAAAATAAGAGAACATTTAAATCATGAAATCAATCCATGATCAAGTCACTGTGAGAAAATAGGGCCACTGAACTGTAACTCCAGATGTGTTTAACATGGGGGAGGGTGTTTTTTCCAAGCCTGGGTTGTGATTAGACTGCTAGGACAAATCACTAATAGGAAAGTTTGCTGTCATATGTTAGAAAATACCCTTCTTTATGTTAGAACTGGGATGTGCTTCAGTCTTTGACTTTAGTGTCATTAGAGAGAAATGCTGGAGTTTGTGTTAACCACGAGGATACTGCTTAAGCACTGCTGACTGAACCACTGGAATATCAGTATGCAAGAATCATAGAATGGCCTGGGTTGAAAAGGATCACAATGATCTTCTGGTTTCAACCTCCCTGCCACAGGCAGGGTTGCCAGCCACTAGAGCAGGCTGCCCAGAGCCACATCCAGCCTTCCTTCCAGAAGAGAGAGTGGTTTTCAGTCTGACAATGTCAGTAACAAGTCAGAAAAACTGCCATAAGGCTATACTGGTATTTGATAAAATAAGCAGTCTTGAACTTTTAGTTTTACACAATATAGGCTTCTAAAGAGTAAATTTAGCCTAAATACATAGACAAAGATACGTTAGTGACATTTTTCCTGCACAAATTCAATAAAAACTAGCCTCTGTGGTCATACTCAACCTTCTAGCCTGCATTCATAACATTTAATAGAAACACCTTTTTAAAGGATTGTTATAAGAATACATCCAAATAGCTGGCTGGATGTTATGGTAGATAACCTGCTTTACTATACAAGTTTATCCTCTTCTTAAATATTTCTTTCTTCCTGTTTGGTTTTTGAAGAGAATCATCATAGCATAAAGTTGCATAAATATTTCTTAACCAACTAAGGATGCCCCTTCGTTTTTCAGGCACAGCAGACTGGTGTATAAACAGTATTAACTGTAGTTTTCACCTCTCAATGTAGAAAAAGTAAACAACAAGTTTTGTATTGATTAATATAGGGAGTTCCATATAGGAAGTTTTAAATCAATAAATAACAGAGATATTAAAAAAAAAAAAAAAAAAGGAACTAAATGTATCATATAACAATAGCATTATTTCTAGTTCTTAAGTAAGAATGGGGATTATGGAGAAGGGTCCTGGTATCCCTCCTGTGAGACAGATCTTGACTTTTTCACTGGTGCGTAGGCAGATATTCTCTGGGTACTTGAAGCCACAGACATCATCCAGCTTCTGAAGAAAAAGTTCCATCTGAGATACAGCTAGTTTCAGTCAAAAGATTGCAAGGCAGGTCTTCGCTTGCGTGCATGCTAGGATTTGGGAAGGTTTCACTGGAGGAGGTCAAACAGCAGTCAAAGACCTTCTGTTTGAGAATGGTGAATCTTTTGCCCCTCATCAGCAGAGGGGCATGCAGGAGCAGGTGGATGTCACCCATAGGAACATTATGTGGAGAGCCTGCTGTTATGAGCTTACCCATCTCCTTATTCCCCCACTCATTGTGTTCTCCACCTCATCAAAAGGGAGCAGCTGGCTGATCACCTGGTAGTCAGCAAGGATCAACCCACTGCAATTTCTTAATTTTGTTGAAGTGTTGACAAAGACTACAGCAGTGATGAACGTCACCAAGGGGGACTTGATTCCATTTTGTTTCTGTTTAGAAAATCAGTTCATCCTGAAGTAATTGCACTCATGGGTATTAATGTGCTCACTGTAGAAAATAGGAAGCTAGTAAAAAGTGATCTATTGAAAATGTATTGTTTCTTGTAATTTAATAAGTGTATTATTTTAGGGTTTTTTTTTGAAAATCTATTTAGCCTAAGAGAGCTTTTTTTTTTTCTAAATCTAAAACCCTTCATCCTTAGTACTTTCTTAATTAAGGAGCATAACACTACTGAAGTTAATGCTGAAAATCAAGAAGATGCAAGTCAAGAAACCTGTGGAGGGAAGAACTAAACCTCAGTCCAGTTGCTTTCTGCTTGTGCACATGGCTTTAATATAATATACATTTATGTATATCCGTCTAATAAAGCAGTAATTTAGCAAGTATGATGTAAACCACCAGATGGAGTAGTGTTTCCATGAGAAATTCAGAGTATAGCAAGGATGTGTTTTGTTTTGTTTTTCATAACATATATTGCAAGTGCAATTACAGAGATAGTAGTTTTTTTTATAAATCTGCGTGTTGGAACTGGTAACTGCTCTCTTCAGTGCTTGCATGTTAAAGAGCACCTTTCTTAGCTT